CTGGTGGTCCCGAGCTCCCCCAGGAGCACCATATCGATACCGAACTTAGTGCGGACACCCGATCGGCATAGTCCGCTGCAGCTCAGAGCTCCTGAGCTCAAACGATCCGCCAGCCTCAGCCTCCCGGTAGCTTGGATTACAGGCGCGCGCCACCGCACCCGGCGAGAAAAAGAAGTGCTCCTCGGGCTTTTATCTTTCACAAAAGTGACGTCACGAATAACACAGCGACATCAAGCGGTGAAAACCGGGTACTGTTATAAAAGGTCTGCACACCGTTTCCTTTGGTTCTTTTAATTCCTCTTTAGGAACTTTAGTAAGTCGTTCCCTGAAAAAACAAAAGGTTCCTCGGATAGCCAATTAGAAGGATTCATTGAATGTGAAAGACTCCAGGAAATATTATTTCTTTTTTCTTTCTAAATTTCCAGCACTAGTAAAACCCCATGGTTTATTCCACATATCTATGTACATGAGCAAATGTCTATGTACTCTGTAATAGGCCAATAAATCATAGTAATTTAGCCGTTTATTACTTGGTATTGACATAACTTTTTCCATATAATGTAACCTTCTTTATAAAGCAAAATAAGCTCAAGCCTAGCCTATGAACTGGAAACTGGACTGATTATTTAACACATCTTGATAACTTGGATTAACTCACCAATAACCACCAGTAAATATGACAGCATTCGGAAACTTTTTTTTTTATTGTTTAGATTTTAATATATTTCCTCTTCTTTGCTTACAGTCCGCTACATGAATAATAGTCAGTGATACAAATAAAAGAAGGTCACTTGCATTACAAGCATTGGGTTGTCATGCCATCATTTTTTTATGATGAAATGTCTCATAAATACACTCACCAGTCACTCAGTAATGAAAATATCATCACCTAATCACATGGCAGAATCTCAGAGTATTTAGGCATATAGAAATTTACTTGCTGACTGGATCTGATAGGAAAGCAACACTAACTCAAATAATAACTCATCACAACCAAGGTTTGCAGAAGAACATCCATGAATGCACATTATGTCAAACCTTAAACCAGATAGGCTACAGCAGCAGAAGAGCACACCGGGTCCCACTCCTGTCAGCCAAGAACAAGAAACTAAGACACTGCAAAATCTGCCAGATTTGGACAACAAGGGCTTGGAAAAATGTTGCTTGGTCTAATGAGTCGATTTCTGCTAAGACATTTGAATTGTAGGGTTAGAACTTGGTGTAAACAACATGAAAGCATGGGCGGATTGTGGAAGAGACTGTGTCAGCAAGTTCCCTTAAAAGGTTTGTGCTCAAAGCTAAATCTGTGTTACAGAAACTCAGCCTTTGTGTTTTTCATTATAGGAACAAAAAAATTCTGTAGCCTGCTATTTTTAACAGCTACTTTTATAGGTAATCTTAATTTTTTGTTATTATTGTTTATTTTATTTTCAATATTTAACTATATTTATATTAGCTATATTAGCTTTAAAGATTTGAAACCTCTGTTCACTTCATATGTTTTGCTACTGAACATTTAAAATATATTTCTTCTGACCGTGCAGTTAAAACAAACTAAACAATAAGTGATTTCATATCTTTACAAAATAACATATTATATTTAGCTATAGACCACATGTTGTGACTTCCTTCTGATAAAGGGTGAACATGCTGTACTAAAGCACAATTGTGGAAAACTTAAGGTTTCAATTCAAAGAATTAGTTTGGCCTCAAACAAAGCTGAAGAAGTCAAAGAATAATACTAATACAAACACAATACATTACAGCAAACAATAATATCACGCACAATCATGCCTCCACTGTATGTTACTGAGAGAGATACATATATATGTATTCCATCTCACTGCCCAATAGACTGCCTGTAGGCTTCATATAAGTCTATTGGGCGGTGAGATGGAACTCATCTCACTCAAATGCCGCCAGATCACAAAGTATACATCTGGTAGACATTGAGGAAGACATTGTTAGAAAAAAGACAAATTTTTATATGATTCAGTGGTAAAATTATGGCTGAAGTAACATTTTTCTGGCTCTCTTCCCATTCACCTGAATGAGGAGCTATTAGTGAGGACACATTAAATAATTCAAACATGACAGAAATAAAATGAGGAAGCAATTTGGTGCCAGAATGTTGTCTCTACAACAAACTGTAGGGAAGGTACACACCACGGAAGAAAAATAATATTAATAATAAAGAATTTAGCCAAACGTAACATACACCTGACAGTTAGCTTTGCAACAGTCCCACCAATTATTAGGCAAGAGTAAACACAGTGAGACAGTTACTGATGTCACAGCTGCATAACAACTAAACATACTCTATAAAAGCTGGCATTACAATAAAATGGTCCCAAGTCTAGCAACACTTGGACAACATGAAAGTTTTAATATATTCAGATTTCATAATTTCGGAATTTCCGCAGCAGATTAGATGGAGAGTCACCAGCCCAGCGGAAGCGTCGATGGCAGAAATCACCTGCAGCAATGATAAGAAAAAGTCACTTCACTTCCCTTTATGCAGTTCAGTACTTTTTAAACAGCTACTGTTTACTCTAGAAGAAATTCACATGAGGAACAGTTCAGATCCTTCACTGAGTACTCTACCCTGTTGTGTACTCGGCTTGAGTATCCGGTAAGCTGTACTGATGCTCGTGAAGGAAAGTCTATAATCATAGCTGTGTTTCAGCTATAGTAATACTGACTTGCAAGTGTTTATTTCAGAGGTTATGACTGACTTCTAACTCTAAAAATTAGTTTCAGAACAAAATCCTTACAGTGCTCTTTAGCGGCAAATATTTGAAACATTTTGTGGCAGTATTATAAAGGAAAAAGGAATCCACAGCGAGCTTCTGTAGAATCTCAGGAAAACTGCATCAGTCCTCAGGGCTACAGGAAAGTGTCAGCCCTGAACACTGAAGCTAAAAACTAGCTAAGAGGAAACTACTAACATGGTCTCACAGCCAAGTTGTGAATAATTGCTGAACCTGAAATTATAACCAAAATAAAATGAAATCAGTGCTTTAAAGTGGTAGCTTTGAAGTGCAAAGTGCAAAACCTCACAAAACATTGGGTGGGCGTGCAGCCCCTCTTTAATATGAGCACTAAAGAGCTCCTACTTTTATATTCCATCAGCTTAATATAAGAGCAGAGAAGCTCTTGAGCAGCTGTTCTGAATATCCATTGCCTCTCTGCAATGAAATTAGATTGAAAATACACCAAATCATGTCTATCATACTGGTATCAATTAAACTTTTCTCATGTCTGACTTTCAAAAATAAGGATCCTATGGCACTGACAACTTCCTTACTTGTATTTTGTGTGTTGTTATGTATTGCTCTCCAGCAACATCTTGCTTTAAAGAATTGGAATAAATTTCAGTTACCCGAGTATGTCGTGCTTTCACATGAAGATTTCCCCGTTTCCTGCTGCTCACAGTGAAAGCTCTCTGCTTGTGACGTGATGGGGTCTTCTGGTTTGGAGGCCTCCAACATTGGTTCCTTCTTATTTCTCACAGCCCAGTGCATTGACTGCAAACAAATTAGCAGGCTTTTTAAGTGTCAATGGTTGCACAGTGTTTTTAAGAATCTAAAGAGAGGACATTACGTACAGTTTTCACTGAGTCGTTCAAGGCCTGCCAGTCATGGAATGGGATCGTAACTCCGCTTCTTTTCCAAAGATCATAGTTTTTCCTTTTGGTTTCATCGCATAAAACCTCTTTGGCTTCCTGCAGCTTCTGGAAATCTGCCACTTTCACAACAGAAAAAACGGTTTTAATATAAAATTTTGAATTTAATAAAGCAATTTACTGTATACAGCTGTAAGCATCCGCTCTATTAGCATTATTTGCTTTGAAGTTAAGACATCAGAAACAGATATTAACTATGTAAGAAAAGTGTGAATGAAGAGGTAATGAAGGGGTAATAGCACACTTTGTAATACTTTATTGCTTCGGGCTATGAAAAAAAGGTTATATGAAATATGACTCACACACAGTTAGTGGTGTGTGTGCATTACCTGCTCTTGGGCTGTCGAGGTGTTTGTCTGGATGACATGCCAAGGCTCGAATCTTGTATTCATTGAGAATCTGTTCAGTCTGCAAGAGAACAAAACAAAATAAACCTCATAGTCTGATGTGATATAATCAATAAGATCTATGTTATCTTGACCGTGTTATTGACTATTTGAGACCCTCAGCTCTGCCAGTCTATGAGTGTTGCTGATTGCTGAGTAATATATTGAGTGAAAATTGGCGATCACAAGACCACGGTGGATATGTGTGTTGATGTTGATAATCAAAGATTTGTTTTAGTAAGATACATTAAAAAATCACACTGATTGCATATCTAATCTAGTTATACACAAATGAATTTAAATGCTGGCTGGCAGACACTGGATGACGCACGACTAGTTTCACATCAACAGGTCTCTGTTGGTTCAGCCTAATCTGAGGCACACATACATTTTTATTTTCACATTTTTTGACTCAGCAGCGTATAGGCTATTGAGCCAAATAATTACTGACTTATAGATCGAGACTATATCCGTTCAGCAACCCAGGAAATAGTCTGAGCCTTAAACCCACTGACGAGAACTTACCGATGACAGTTCATCACATCCCAGTAACCCGTAGTAATCCTCCAAATCCTCAGGTTTACAGCTCAAAACAGCCTCCATAAAAATCTGTCGGAGAAGCACGTATGGCTTCTTTTAACGGACCACAAATGCTGCTGAACGTGATCACAGCTGATCAGTTAAAGGGTTGCCAAAGGGTCCCCCCTCTCACTCACTTACTACAACCAACTAGCTAACTACTAACTGTTAGCAAAGTTTGTCTTAGTATGGTTTTGTCAGCTAGCGTTAGATTTCAGGGATTATTAAACTGTTAAAATTGTCAAGGGAGATCTCTCCTGAGTTGTTGGGAGAGCCCAGCTGCCCCTTTTTACCGTATGACGTACGATGCATTCAAGGGTCTTGATAATGGTCCTGCTTACTAGAAAATTCATTTATTCATCTGGCTAAGAAACAAAGGCAATGGTAGCTTTAGGAAATTAAAAATGTTATATTTTTATGTAGTAAAACTAAATTTCTTTCACATACTTAAGGCTTGTGTGGCAACGAAAAAAGAAAATGACAGATTTGTAACTGGGGCATTAATTAAGCTTTCAACGGCTGCACGTCAATATAAAATCGTTTATATTTACGCGAAACACATCACCGAAAGGCTTGAAAGATTCGTGAGGGCTAACCTATGATTAGAAATCATCCGACAGCACTTGAAGGCAACAATATTTGTTATGGTATAATGTCAGCGACGTAGAGGGGGGCGTTTCGCTCGTGACTACTGGTGGAGAACGAGTCACGTGTGCTATGCAAATGAGCCAGCTGTCCGAGAGGAAGGCTCCTGCTCAGCGGCTCTGCGGGCTGAAGATGGCGGACGGAGAGAACAGTCTCAAAACGGCCCTTTCGGGCGCCTCCGATACGGGGGAACCTCCGGCTAAGATTTCGAAAATCAGTCCAGGAACTAACTATGGACTAAAAGCCGTCGAAGCGGACCAGTTCTCGTGCGTCTCCGCGGCAACTGAGAGCTGGGAGGCGGCGTTGAATTGTGCGCAGCCCGCGGAGAAGGAAGCTAAGCCGGTGATGGCGGTAGAACAGGCCCCGGCAGCGCTAGGCGGAGACAACAATGGACTGGAAGTATTGCTCTCCGACCCTCACAAGCCAGTTGGGAAACTGGACGACACCACTGTCTTTGGCGCAACCGAGGACAGTCCAGGTATAAAAAGAGAAAAACTTTGAGTATTTAAGTGACTTACAGTGAGAAAAATTCTCTTTGCCAACTTAACCGGTGAGCTAACTGGCTCCATGTGAAACAGTTAACTTTGCTAATGTTAAATACAGTAATGCTGTGTGGGTGTCGAGAACTGTGTACTCCTGAAAACGGGAACTTTTCCACTAAATTATATTTCGCTAAACGGAAGTAGAACTCTATCAGTGATCCTGCCAGCACAAATTTGGCCATTTAACTTTTTCATAACCACGCAAAACTTTGAGAGCAACTTAGCGTTTGTTAGCCGGTTGAAAGTTGACTTTGAGAGACTGCGTTCACCGATTTACTTTTGTAACGGGTCGTAGCAGTTATTAAAGAGAGTCGCGACTTATATCTAGTCTTATTTAGTTAATTTTCTCCATGTCTGTACTTAGATTTTCTTGGGCACGATGATCTTCCCTCTAACGGTTTGGCCGTCACTCCGGAGCACATCACTGAAGACGATGACAGGTCCTCACATGCAAGCTCCAGCGACTGGACTCCTCAACCGCAAATAGGTAACTAAGATAATCAGATCATTAATAAACTACAATATCTTAGATTACGCCACTTATAATATGTATTTAGTGTGTATGTATATATTTAAACCACATAATAATTGTTTGCATTGTACAAGTATGTGTGTACAATTTTTGAAATCCAGCCATACTGAGATGTTATGTTCTTGCTCGCAGGTTCCTACAGTTTCATCCAGCAGCACATTAGAGAGACAGATCCAAGGGCCATCCTGAGGGATTTGCTGCCCGAGACTGTACTCCCACCAGATTTAGATGACATGACATTGTGGCAGATCATCATCAACATCTCAGAGCCTCCAAAAAGAAAGAAGCGGAAAGATATTAATACCTTAGAAGATGTAGTCAGGTTACTACATGAAAGTAAAAGGATACTAGTGCTGACTGGTGCTGGGGTATGCATTTTTTACTTTATCATGTAGCTCTACTGTGTAAATTCGATTTTCAGTACTAGTGTTCATTGCATTTCCTTATTATTTTTATTTTATTTGTTGTAGGTTTCAGTTTCATGTGGAATACCAGACTTCCGCTCCAGAGATGGAATTTATGCACGGCTTGCTGTAGATTTTCCAGATCTTCCAGATCCTCAAGCTATGTTTGACATTGAGTACTTCAGACGGGACCCTAGACCGTTTTTTAAGTTTGCTAAGGTTGGTTTTACATGAACAATAGAATAACAATTTGAATGCTCTCTAACAAAGAATTATTAATCTTAATCCAAACCATAAATCTCTTCATGTAGACCATTGCAAGGTCTACATGACTAGTGAATTGTGCACTTTCATTCTGTGAAAGGGTCATTTTGAAAGGGAAACTACTTAAATGTAAGCCGCTTCTGAGTTCCTGTTAAATTTTGTAATGTTGTTTAATACGGTGCCCCACACCCCCATGTTTACACCAACTTTTAAATGGAGAATCAGAACCTGTTTTTTAAGTTAACTTAAAACATAACATAATGTTCAGTTAAATTTGACCCATTTTGACATTTGGCAACAGTTAAGAAAAACAAACAAACCCATATACAGGGAGTGCAGAATTTTTAGGCAAGTTGTATTTTTGAGGAATAATTTTATTATTGAACAACAACCATGTTCTCAATGAACCCAAAAAACTAATTAATATCAAAGCTGAATGTTTTTGGAAGTAGTTTTTAGTTTGTTTTTAGTTTTAGCTATTTTAGGGGCATATCTGTGTGTGCAGGTGACTATTACTGTGCATAATTATTAGGCAATTTAACAAAAAACAAATATATACCCATTTCAATTATTTATTTTCACCAGTGAAACCAATATAACATCTCCACATTCACAAATATACATTTCTGACATTCAAAAACAAAACAAAAACAAATATAGCCAGCGACCAATATAGCCACCTTTCTTTGCAAGGACACTCAAAAGCCTGCCATCCATGGATTCTGTCAGTGTTTTGATCTGTTCACCATCAACATTGCGTGCAGCAGCAACCACAGCCTCCCAGACACTGTTCAGAGAGGTGTACTGTTTTCCCTCCTTGTAAATCTCACATTTGATGATGGACCACAGGTTCTCAATGGGGTTCAGATCAGGTGAACAAGGAGGCCATGTCATTAGTTTTTCTTCTTTTATACCCTTTCTTGCCAGCCACGCTGTGGAGTACTTGGACGCGTGTGATGGAGCATTGTCCTGCATGAAAATCATGTTTTTCTTGAAGGATGCAGACTTCTTCCTGTACCACTGCTTGAAGGTGTCTTCCAGAAACTGGCAGTAGGACTGGGAGTTGAGCTTGACTCCATCCTCAACCCGAAAAGGCCCCACAAGCTCATCTTTGATGATACCAGCCCAAACCAGTACTCCACCTCCACCTTGCTGGCGTCTGAGTCGGACTGGAGCTCTCTGCCCTTTACCAATCCAGCGACGAGCCCATCCATCTGGCCCATCAAGACTCACTCTCATTTCATCAGTCCATAAAACCTTAGAAAAACCAGTCTTGAGATATTTCTTGGCCCAGTCTTGACGTTTCAGCTTGTGTGTCTTGTTCAGTGGTGGTCGTCTTTCAGCCTTTCTTCCCTTGGCCATGTCTCTGAGTATTGCACACCTTGTGCTTTTGGGCACTCCAGTGATGTTGCAGCTCTGAAATATGGCCAAACTGGTGGCAAGTGGCATCTTGGCAGCTGCACGCTTGACTTTTCTCAGTTCATGGGCAGTTATTTTGCGCCTTGGTTTTTCCACGCGCTTCTTGCGACCCTGTTGACTATTTTGAATGAAACGCTTGATTGTTCGATGATCACGCTTCAGAAGTTTTGCAATTTTGAGACTGCTGCATCCCTCTGCAAGATATCTCACTATTTTTGACTTTTCTGAGCCTGTCAAATCCTTCTTTTGACCCATTTTGCCAAAGGAAAGGACGTTGCCTAATAATTATGCACACCTGATATAGGGTGTTTAATTGGTAGTAGGCTTTCGAGTCTATACAGCTTGGAGAAAGACAACATGCATGAAGAGGATGATGTGGACAAAATACTCATTTGCCTAATAATTCTGCACTCCCTGTATGTCTTTTAGCTTGAAATTGTTTAATTTTCTAAAGTAACTTAAAATTTTATCACAAGAACTGTTTGTGTTCCCACCAGATTTGATCAGGCCCCTGCAGGGACGGGAAATTTAAAGGATCGTGGGGAATTCTCCAAACAGTGAAATAGTAAAAGAACACAGGAGTGATCAAATAATATCCACAAAATAACAGAGGCTATACAGAAGTCAGAGGGTCCCTTATCATAGACACAATATCTGTAATAGGGTGGGAAGGTGGTCCATATACAGTAGTATATTGTGGTACAGTGGGTAGCACTGTTGCCTCACAGCAATACTTTTCCTGGTTGAAAAAATTGCTTAAAGTTCAATAGCTGTGTGGGTGTGTCTTGTAAACTTACACAGCATTTAATGTTTTTATCTTCTCTCTTAAGCACATTGTGTTTACATATTAATAAATGTGCTACATGAATAAAATTGCAATTAAGTACTCAGAATAAAGTACTGTATGTATTTGCTAATAGAGATTAAAACAGATCTCATAAGATGGGTTGGGTCATAACATTACAAAAGGACCTGAGCTGCCATTTCAGTGAGTGTGAGAAACTGATGTGGAAGTCCCACACATGCCAGGTTTCCTAGCACTGCTTTGAATGCACAGACTAGTTTTAAGCATTTTGTATATATATTATGTTCTAAGTCAGTTAATACTGCACTCTGAAAAAGGTTTAAAAAAAGGTTTTAAAGATTGATCACTGATTTATTATTATCAAATATATTCAAACCATGCTATGAGGCATGAAATATAAACAGTTATTAAGTGTTTAAATATGGTCCAGAAAAGCCATGGTGGGGGCATATGACTATAGCAATGTTTGCATTTTCTTCACAAGTACTGAATGCATAATTTTATATTACAGGAGATCTACCCTGGGCAGTTTGAACCTTCTCCCTGTCATAGATTTATATCTATGCTAGATAAGCAAAGAAAGCTGCTGCGCAATTATACGCAAAACATTGATACACTGGAACAAGTGGCTGGGGTTCAGCGGATTATCCAGTGTCACGGTGAGTGGTGCATGTGATTGATCCCTCTTGCTTATTTCGTTATTTGTTTTTTTT